AATCTCAAAAATGATAGAATGATGTCAATACGAATCCAAGGCAGACCATTCAACATCACAATAATCCAAGTTTATGCACCAACCAGCATTGCTGAGGAGACTGAAATTGAACAATTCTATGAAGATTTACAACACCTTCTAGAACTGACACCAAAGAAAGATGTTCTTCTCATTCTAGGGGACTGGAATGCTAAAGTAGGGAGCCAAGAGATAAAAGGAACAACAGGGAAGTTTGGCCTTGGAGTTCAGAACGAAGCAGGACAAAGGCTAATAGAGTTTTGTCAAGAGAATAAGCTGGTCATCACAAACACTCTTTTCCAACAACACAAGAGGCGACTCTACACATGGAAATCACCAGATGGGCAATATCGAAATCAGATTGATTATATTCTCTGCAGCCAAAGATGGAGAAGCTCTATACAGTCAGCAAAAACAAGACCTGGAGCTGACTGCGGCTCTGATCATCAGCTTCTCATAGCAAAATTCAAGCTTAGACTGAAGAGAGTAGGAAAAACCACTGGGCCACTCAGGTATAATCTAAACCAAATCCCTTATGAATACACAGTGGAAGTAAAGAACAGATTTAAGGAACTAGATTTGGTGGACAGAGTGCCTGAAGAACTTTGGATAGAGGCTCGTAACATTGTCCAAGAGGCAGCAACGAAAACCATCCCAAAGAAAAGGAAATGCAAGAAAGCAAAGTGGCTGTCCAACGAGGCCTTAGAAATAGCAGAGAGGAGAAGGGAAGCAAAATGCAAGGGAGATAGGGAAAGTTACAGAAAATTGAATGCAGACTTCCAAAGAATAGCAAGGAGAGACAAGAGGGCCTTCTTAAATGAACAATGCAAAGAAATAGAGGAAGATAACAGAAAAGGAAAGACCAGAGAGCTCTTCAGGAAAATTGGAGATATTAGAGGAACATTTTGCGCAAAGATGAACATGATAAAAGACAAAAATGGGAAGGACCTAACAGAAGCAGAAGACGTCAAGAAGAGGTGGCAAGAATACACAGAGGAATTATATCAGAAAGATGTGGATATCCCGGACAACCCAGACAATGTAGTTGCTGACCTTGAGCCAGACATCCTGGAGAGCGAAGTCAAGTGGGCCTTAGAAAGCCTGGCTAACAACAAGGCCAGTGGAGGTGATGGCATTCCAATTGAACTATTTAAAATCTTGAAAGATGATGCTGTTAAGGTGCTACATTCAATATGCCAGCAAGTTTGGAAAACTCAACAGTGGCCAGAGGATTGGAAAAGATCAGTCTACATCCCAATCCCAAAGAAAGGCAGTGCCAAAGAATGCTCCAACTACCGTACAATTGCACTCATTTCACACGCTAGCAAGGTTATGCTCAAAATCCTACAAGGTAGGCTTCAGCAGTATGTGGACCGAGAACTCCCAGAAGTACAAGCTGGATTCCGAAGAGGCAGAGGAACTCGAGACCAAATTGCTAACTTGCGCTGGATTATGGAGAAAGCCAGAGAGTTCCAGAAAAATATCTACTTCTGCTTCATTGACTATGCAAAAGCCTTTGACTGTGTGGACCACAGCAAACTATGGCAAGTTCTTAAAGAAATGGGAGTGCCTGACCACCTTATCCATCTCCTGAGAAACCTATATGTGGGACAGGAAGCAACAGTTAGAACTGGTCATGGAACAACTGAGTGGTTCAAAATTGGGAAAGGAGTACGGCAAGGCTGTATATTGTCCCCCAGCTTATTTAACTTATATGCAGAATACATCATGCGGAAGGCTGGACTGGAAGAAACCCAAGCCGGAATTAAGATTGCCGGAAGAAATATCAACAACCTCCGATATGCAGATGATACCACTCTGATGGCAGAAAGTGAGGAGGAATTAAAGAACCTTGTAATGAGAGTGAAAGAGGAGAGTGCAAAAAACGGTCTGAAACTCAACATCAAAAAAACTAAGATCATGGCCACTGGTCCCATCACCTCCTGGGAAATAGAAGGGGAAGATATGGAGGCAGTATCAAATTTTATCTTCCTGGGCTCCATGATCACTGCAGATGGAGACTGCAGCCACGAAATTAAAAGACACCTTCTTCTTGGGAGGAAAGCGATGACAAATCTTGACAGCATCTTGAAAAGCAGAGACATCACCTTGCCAACAAAAGTCAGAATAGTCAAAGCTATGGTTTTTCCTGTCGTGATGTATGGAAGTGAGAGCTGGACCATAAAGAAAGCAGACCGCCGAAGAATTGATGACTTTGAATTGTGGTGCTGGAGGAGGCTCCTGAGAGTTCCCTGGACTGCAAGGAGAACAAACCTATCAATTCTAAAGGAAATCAACCCTGAGTGCTCACTGGAAGGACAGATCCTGAAGCTGAGGCTCCAGTACTTTGCCCATCTAATGAGAAGAAAAGAGTCCTTGGAAAAAACCCTGATGTTAGGAAGGTGTGACGGCAAGAGGAGAAGGGGACGACCGAGGATGAGATGGCTGGACAGTGTCTGCGAAGCAACCAACATGAACCTGACACAACTCCGGGAGGCAGTGGAAGATAGGAGGGCCTGGCGTGCTCTGGTCCATGGGGTCACGAAGAGTCGGACACGACTAAACGACTAAACGCAAACACAATTTTGATCCTTGACAATATTTGAAATTCCAGACAGGTGAAACATACATTCATGGCATTTTAGTTATATAATCAAAAGAAAATGCAGACATACACTGCAAATGTGTCTGTCTGCATTCACATAGGTATGTACTTATCTTTCTGCATTTAGATGGATATGTGCCATGACTTTACAGTAAGGGGCATGGCTGGATATCATAATAAGCCAGGAGACTGCAGGTTACTACAGGTGAGCAGCAAGCTGGTTCCCCTACCCTAGTTGATTTACCCACTCTTGATGATTTTAGTTTTCTATGTATTACATATCATGCCACAGAAAAATTTGACATTTTGGGGTTCAACAAGTGCACAGGGAGCCATCCAAGTTTGTGTCTATGCGGGAACAAGGAGACTCAGCAATAACAGATAAAGGCAAAAATCTATAAATTACAAATACAGCAGGACCCCCTTATATGTGGGAGCAATATTTATTTCATTTATTTATTTATTATTGGATTTTTATCCCGCCATTCTAGACAGGAGTCTACTCAGGGTGGCTCACAATATATTGTGCACAAACAGATCTAAAAACAACTATTAAAATCTACAATAATAATATAATCAAGATGGGAGGATAAACAACAAAGACCAAGAAAAAGAAAAGTAAAATCAAGTATTGGAGGAGGGAAGGTCTGCCTAAAGAGCCAAGTTTTTAATTGGCTCTTGAAAACACCCGGGGAGGGTGCCAGGCAGATCACTGGCGGCAAGCTGTTCCAAAGTTGAGAGGCCACTGCCGAGAAGGCCTGGTTTCTTGTTCTTTCTTTCCGCTCCTCTCTCGGCATCAGGCCCCTCAGCCATCCTGCCTGGCTATGGCGAGTGACTCAAGTAGATCTAGGTGCGAGAAGGTGTTTTGTCAAGTATCGAGGTCCTAAACCGTTTAGGGCTTTGTATGTCATCATTAACACTTTGAAGTCAATGCGGAAACAAATGGGTAGCCAATGCAAAGCAGCCAGAATGGGAGAGATATGCTGGAATTTTCTAGTTCCACTAAGTAATCTGGCTGCCGCATTGTATATCAATATACAGTGGTGCCCCGCTTGATGATTACCTTGTTAGACGAGGAAATCGCTTAACAATGAAGTTTTTGCGATCACTTTTGCGATCACAAAACGATGATTTAATAGGGAAAAATTGCTTCATGGTGATCAGTTCCCTGCTTTGGGAACCGATTCTTCGCTTAATGACGATCAAAACAGCTGATCGCCAGGCTTACAAAATGGCCACCCGCTGTGTAAAATGGCTCCCCGCTGTGTTTTAGGATAGATTCCTCACTTTATAGGCACTGAAAATGGCCACCCTATGGAGGATCTTCTCTGGACTCTGAGGTATTTCGCCCATTCGAAGACATCGAACTGGTTTTCAATGCATTTCAATGGGATTTTTACTTTCACTTGACGATGATTTTGTTCTACAGCGATTTTGCTGGAATGGATTATTTTCATCAAGCGAGGCACCACTGTATATATATGATATATATCAATATCCACTGATTCACTTATCTAGGGTCTGGAAATATTAAAAAATTTACAAGAAAAATCCTTAAAATATATATTTGTAACAATGAAGCTCCCAGAGGGAGCCAGAGACCATGCTATGTATAGAGTTTCTGTGTTTTTCACCATCTGCACAGGGCTTGGAACCAATCCCTGGCATATACGGGGGTTCTACAGTACAAACTCAAATCTATAAATGAAAACATTTAAAAGAGCATGAGCCAGACATAAACTGATTTGCTTATTCCATTTCAACACTGATGCGTTTCAAAGGCATTTCTCTTTGAACATTCCTCATTTGGAATACAGTGTGAAACTGACTCTATAAAAGTGATATATTTCCCCCAAGTCCCTGTCACTAAACTACAAAGTACAGTGGTGCCTCGCTTAGCGACGTTAATCCGTTCCGGAAAAAACGTTGCTAAGCGATTTCATCGCTAAGCGATATTAAAAAGCCCATAGAAACGCATTAAAATGCGATTAATGCGTTCCTATGGGCTAAAAACTAACCTTTAAGTGAAGATCCTCCATAGGGGCGGCCATTTTCGGTGCCTCTAAAGTGAGGAAACACAGCCGGAGGCCATTTTGTTTTCTTGGTGGCCATTTTGAAACTGCTGAGCAGCTGTTAAAAAGAGTTGCTTTGCCATGATCACTTCCCCGCAATCATCGCAAAGCGAAAAAAAACCCATAGGGACCATCGCAAAGCGATTGCTTTTGTGATTGCAAAAACTACGTCGCTAAGCGATTTCGTCGCTTAACGGAGCGATCGCTAAGCGAGGCACCACGGTAAGTGCTAAATATTCATTTTGGAAACTGTCTATTTGTTTCTTTGTTTGTTGATCTTACCTCAAGAAAAAAAAACTACTTACCTTGACTGCATAATAGTCCTTTACTTCAGGCATAAGGGAGTCAAAGTCCCCACTGATATAATCTGGCAAAAAGCTGAAAGAGAAGCAATATTTAACTAGTTATTTTAAAAAAGATTTTTGTTCATGAATTCTAAGAGGCAAGGAAAGGGAGAATTCTGATGTGAGTTGAAAATAAAAATTCAAATAGCAGCTTCTGTACCCAAAATTAATCTCATGTTAGTGGCTATGCATTTCTAATGCCTTATTTAGGCTGTTACTATTTACATGGCCTCACTAGATTGAGATCACCTGGACTCTTGCAAACATATGTTTCTCATTGAAAATATTTAATGAATGAAGATTAGAACAGGTGCAGGTTTTTTTTAAGAAACACAGTGCTCTATTAGCTAAGTGGTTGTCCAGGATCTTATGAACACACACCCTTTTCCCTTTTATAATCCACACCATCCAGCTTTATTTGTACATTCTTCAGCAATGGTTAGGGATAAAATCCCTCCACTAAAATACAGAGCCAGCTTTCCTATTTTCCGATATAAAGGCTGCAGAACAAAATCAGAATATTTTACACACAAAGACTGAGAGTTGCAAGACAACTGGACAGATTGCTTCCATATACATGCAGCTACTTCTCTGAGAGCATCAAGAAAAACTAGGGTAGAAACCTTATTTAATTTCCGCTCTGCAGACATTGAAGGTTTCAGATAGGGCTATAGTGCACTACTGCAGAAATGAAAAGGAAAAATTTTCCACAGTCTCAAACTCTGTGTAACTGTCTTTCACTTCAGTGACTGATACTGCATGCGCACAAACAAGGTGAGAGAGCACAGGTCCCAGGCAGCTCTGTGAGGCAAAGTAAACTCATTGTGCTCTTGGTGCATGCGAATGGGTAGAACCTTTGTTTCATTCCACACAATGAATAATCAAGGCCAGTACAAAGTCTACTGTAAGTGCTGGATTGTAGTCATTTGGCCAAAATAATAAACTGGAAGAGACATTACTGTCCTCTACCTATTAGGCAAATGATGGTTTACTGCAAACCATGGAAGGGAATTATTGATCTCCACCTCTGTGCTGAGTGGGAATATGAGATTAATGCTTGTTTTTGCAATACCAGCTAAGATTTTTCACTGAGCATCCTCATCGTGATGTAGAGCAAGACAGTATATCCCAGCATGCTTCATTTGTACTGGTTATACATAGCATAAACTTTCTACATTCCAAAAACATGGAAATTTCAACAGTGACATTGAGTGCTGAATTAAAGTCTTTATGAGCAAAGAAATGCTAAAGTGAATGATCAAGCAATTGCTAAGTTTTTTGACACTGTAATTATGCCACTTAGACCTCAATTCTTCACTTAATAGCATATTTTTGCCATTTTCTTTCCAATGAATGTTACTCCACATGTGACTGGTACAGTGAAAGAGTGACAGACAGGCCATTGCTGAGCTCCCATCAGTAGCTTTCAAAATCAGGCAGCATCATAAACAGCAGATTCATCTTCACTTCCCTTTAGACTCCTGAAGAGCCCAAAGTAATTGCCGATCGTTCCTGAGCCAAAGAAGCTGCTGTAAATGGGTACTTATAATGGTTTACTTGTCCTGTGAGCTGTCAAAATTGAATGGGTTGTTTGCTTCCTAAACAACCACACTGTCTTTTATAAATTACTCATTCAAACAGCATACTAATATCTGAAAATTTTATTTTATTTTCATTTGCTTAATGACTCTCTAGATAAAAACTATTCAAAATAAGGACAAGGTGGATTCATCTAGTTTCTATTATGAGATTTTGTAAGATTTTGTGTTATTTCCCATTCTGTTAAATAGTAATGATGGCCAATATGTGCAATGTCAGAGCCAGGCCAGGACCTGGAGATGGGGCATCAATATGGAGTGGCTTACTGCTATTTCTTTCTATTCAGACCTTCTGGAATGTTGTTCCGTAGGGTATCACAGTCATCAAGTGTGGCTTTTGGGGGAGAGAGCAATTTTAATGCCAAGAGGAGACTAGAAATCCCCCACAGATATATAGTAGTTCGGGCGCTGCTATTTAGACCTAGGCCAGAGAAAGACTGTTGTTTTCTTTGCAGATCTTGCTGATATTGTGTTCATTTGCTTTTATTTGTTTCTTGTTGCCAGTATTAAGTATCCTTAAAAGTTAATGATGCATCATGTCTGGGATTCATACTGCCTGCAAACAAATAAGCAAGCAAAAAGACCTGTGGCCATTTTATTCAGTTTTAAAACTTTAATGACATCTCTCCTAAATATATGTCGTTTTTGTAGTAAACAAAACAAGAACCGTGGTGTTGTAGTATTTAATTTACTTTAATCACTTCAGTTGGTATTTTATATCAACTTATAAATTTTATGAATGCTGGCATAGCTCCTGCAATCTATTTCACCCCCAATTAGCACTTACAATGATCCATTGCACATTCCATAGAAGGAATCATAGAAAACTGTGATGCATGCAGAAGAAATCATAGAAAAGTATGTGATGCATGCAGAATGGTTGAGGAAAACACTACGTTCTCAATTCTACATAGAGGTTCTAGTTTAAAAACATGCACAAGGACTCAGTTTCTTTACTGTGGCATCTGCATTTATTTTCTGAAAGTTGTTATATTGCTGCCATTCAAGCCAGCGTATCTGAACCTGGAAGACATTATTTAAAATCCATATTTATCCATGAAGTTCATTGAATGACACTGGCTAAGACACAGTCCATCATACTTCTTTACAAAGATGTTCCGAGAAAAAAGTATATACTGCTGAGAGGTTGTGACCAGATGGACAACAGACCAGGGCTGGTGCTGACTTCTGCATCTTCCACATCCCTCCCAAAGGGGTGTCCATGATGGAGGGATGACTGTCTGTGCAGCCAGCTGGGGGAAATGTGTAGCCCACTCTAGTAGGGCTCTACCCCAGGTGAGTCAAGACCCCTACTATGGCGACTGCAGCGGTTCTGTCTACACCAGGGTTGGCGGCAGTGGAAGGTGAGAAAGTTTGAGAGCTTTTGACAGTTGGGGCAGCGAGCTACAAAGAGGAGGGTGGATCCCAGCTCAGGGAGGATATGAAAGTGTGGGAGAGGGAGAGGTATGGGGTGACACCTTGGGCTGGGCTGTCAGCTCCTGGCACCCTGGAGTGTCCTCCTAATTTAGTAATACAACTTTCAGTTGCCTATATCCTACCCCAGAGCCCAAGATCCAATGGGATAACCAAATATAGGGGTGTGAGGTCTTGGACCTTCCTGACAAGGGACCTGCCATTGGTTCCCCTGAGTAACTGTCATCAACACCAGCTCCAGCCCCAATCTCAACTCAATGATATTGTTTGTGAAAAGAATGGCAGTTCAAGTGGCTCTGCCACCTGGAGAAAAGCTTGCAGGTACAAGTAGTCCAGAAAAAGGACATATACGGATGATACCAAATTAGCAGACTGCACTGCTTAAGGGATCCGGGGTTGAAGCAATTCACCCAATGAACTATCCCAGCTCCAAGAACCTGGGATGCGAAAAGAACTGCCCTGCTGGGATTTAAGAGACTGTGGGAGAAAGAGGGTTTGATGGGGCGGACTGCTTGGCATTGAAGTGACGACCAATAAAGTTTAGTGTTTGGCAGAATACTCCAGTCTATATTGTCCTTTTGACAATGCCAAAAGAGGTCCACAGAGGAAAGGCAATATACAATAGAATAAATCAATAACATTTCTGGGTTTTGGTCAATCAGCATCGTCTAAACATCACCTGCTGACAGTAACAGAGGTGCTAAATTCTACGCCTCTCCTTTACTTCTGTTATATAGAATGGAGCAGCACTGCAAAGTGCTGTGTGGAAATACTATTTCCCATTGCTTATTAGTTAGTTAGGCATCCTTCAGTCTCGAAAGACTATGGTAGCGTGCTCTGTATGGAGGACTTGGAACAGCGTCTAGTGTGGCTGAGGAGGCCAATTCGAGAGTGACAATCCCTTCCACACTGAAGACAAATCCAATCTGTCCCCTGTCCAGCTCCCTGGTTTTGCTGCTTTAGTGACTTCCTCTTTGCCTCGGCCTGCTGGGCAAGGGTCGCTTCAAATTGGGAGAGCCCGCGATGCAGTGCCTGCCTCCAGGCTGAACGCTCAGATGTCAGGGTTTCCTATCTGTTGAGGTCTATTCCTAAGGCCTTCAGATCCCGCTTGCAGATATCCTTGTATCGCAGCTGTGGTCTCCCTCTGGGGCGATTTCCCTGCACTAATTCTCCATATAGGAGATCCTTTGGAATCCGACCATCAGCCATTCTCACAACGTGCCCAAGCCAGCGTAGACGTCGCTGTTTCAGTAATGTATGCATGCTGAAAATTCCAGCTCGTTCTAGGACTACTCTATTTGGAACTCTGTCCTGCCAGGTGATACCAAAAATCCGTCGTAGGCAACGCATATGGAAGGTGTTCAGCTTCCTCTCCTGCCGGGCACAAAGTGTCCAGGACTCGCTGCAGTACAGGAGTGTGCTCAGGACACAGGCTCTATAGACCTGGATCTTGGTATGTGTTGTCAGTTTCTTATTGAGCCATACTCTCTTTGTGAGTCTAGAGAACATGGTGGCTGCTTTCCCAATGCGTTTATCCAGCTCGACATCTAGAGAGAGGGTGTCAGAGATGGTTGAGCCAAGGTACACAAAGTCATGAACAACCTCCAATTCTTGTGTGGAGATGGTAATAGAGGGAGGTGAGTCCACACCCTGGCCCATGACTTGTGTTTTCTTCAGGCTGATTGTTAGTCCAAAGTCTTGGCAGGCCTTGCTGAAACGGTTCATGAGTTGTTGGAGGTCTTCAGCAGAGTGGGCAACAATGGCTGCATCGTCTGCAAAGAGGAAGTCCCTCATGCATTTCAGCTGGACTTTGGTCTTTGCTCTCAATCTAGAGAGATTAAAGAGCTTTCCATCTGATCTAGTCCGGAGATAGACACCTTCTGTTGCAGTTCCAAAGGCATGCTTCAGCATGACAGCAAAAAAGATCCCAAAAAGTGTTGGTGCGAGGACACAGCCCTGTTTCACTCCGCTTCGGATGTCAAAGGGATCTGATGTTGAGCCG